CCGTGCTCCAGTGACCCGCACTGCCCCGAGCCAGCGCGGTGCAGACCGACCTGGGCAGGGTTTCAGAGCTGGCTGCCTCCCCTGCACCCCGGGAGCAGCTCCTCGAGGCCCTGGGCACGTGGGAAGCTGCCCCGGCTCCCCCCAAGACCCCCCACCAGCTCCAGCACACCACACAGAAGGCACTGTCAGGGGGATTTTTCTGCCAAGCAATGAGCAATCCTACAGATGGGAAGGATGGAAGAAGCGAACCAAAGACAACTCGTGCTGCTTTAATGCCAAGAAGGGTGAGGATGGATGTTAGGGGAAGAGATGCTGCGCTGGGAGGGAAGGGGACACCGCTGGGGACAGGGCACATGGGGACGTAAGCAGCATGAGGCTTGCAGCCAGCTCTGCCTACCTGCTGGTCCAAATACTCTAGGTTTCTTTGCAACTGAAGGTCTAAAAGTTCATCCTACCAGGAGCCAGCAGGCATGCGGCAAGAAACGAACACACAAAACATATAAAAGAAGAAGCAAAGCGGTTAGGTGAAGGCTACGGAAATGTGAAGACCTCTCGGCCGGGGAAGCGAGGCACTTCCCTGGCACACAGCCGGGAGAGCTGCCGTGGCTGTGCCCTGTGGGAGACCCGCTCTCCTCCCGGCTCTCCCTCCCGGCTAATGGTGCCTCGGAAGAGGCACGGCCCTTTCCCTGCGTCTCCGGCTAGCGAGGATGGATGGCAGCATGGGTAGCTTATGGTAACTCGTGCTTCTCCCTCCTCCAATGACCGGTCCTACCCTGTGGTTTTGGGACTGCACTCTGCGGGGGGACTTCCCGGTCTCACCCTGCCAGCTCCAACCCCTCAGCGCTCCGAGGGGAAACACAATGCAGGAAAAAGCAGCAGCTGTAGCCAGAGGTGAAAAGGGGGGGATGGCTGCAGGGTGTCCCCCAGCCTCAGCCCCGTCCTTGCCAGGGACCGCCCTGGGGGTGACGAGCCCAGCCCAGCATCGCAGGGCGTACGGGGGTCCAAGGGTGTCCCACTGCCCCTGTGACCTGGGGCCTGCAGGGCAGGGACCGGGGTCCTTTCCACAAGGATTTCCTTCGGGCACAGCCAGGAGGGACCAGAGACACCAATAAAAGGACCTGTGGTCCCAACCTGCCCCAGAGCAGCCCAGCTCTGACCCAAAAAGCTGGAGCGGAGTGGTTCCTCCTCGGCTGTCTGAGCAAGGAGCCCCTGAGCTGGCCCACCTCCCCGGGGGCTCTGCACACCCCGGTCCGCCAGCAGTGTACGTACCATTTTATCATGGACGGTGGGGGATGCCGGGTAGTGGTACGGATACATTCCCGCAGGGACGGGCCGTCTGTCGCCCAGATAGTCGTACTGAGAAGAGAGGAGACACACCCCCCCACCCCAAAACCAGAGACACGTGAGAGGTGTGCGAGAGGCCAGAAAGCACGTGCAAGGGCAGACCCCGGCCCCGCAGCAGGGTCAGGCCTGGCTTTGGGGCACGCAGCAGCGAGACAAGGACACCAGTGCTCCCTGCTCCGGAGCACATCACTTGTGGTGGCCCCGAGCACCCCCATGCTCCCATCCCATCCCCTCCTGCCCCATCTCTCCAGGCTTGCAGCAGCGCAGGAGCAGCCAGGAGGGAACAACCGCAACCTGGGCAGCTTTGCAGGATGGCAAGGAGGGACCTAAATCCATCAGCTGCTGCAAGCCACAGCCTTGGTGGCATTTTGAGGCCAGGCTGTGCATGCAAAGGTAACAAGCTGTGCTGCAGCATCCCTGCCCTGACGTCCCCAGCAAGAGTCCCCCTCCAACCCTGTGTGCCCCAAGCTGCCGATGAGCATTTACCTTTGGAGAACTGATGGATCGCCTCATCATGAAGGTGGTGGGGTCGGCATAAATCTCCTCTCCCCGGGGCGGCAGCCGCTCGAAGCGGGCGCTGGGCGAGCGGGCTGGGGGGGACACCCCG